AAACTTAATGAAAATACAAAAATACCCATTTTCTTCAGTAAATCCCGGGACGGGTTATTACATCTGAAATGCAGAAAAAAAATGGAGAAACAAAGAGAATGTGACGGGGTCAAAGAGGGAGAAAAGTAGGAAGTTTCTAGGGAGAGGGAGAGTTCTTAAGAAAATGAAAACCATTGCATAAGAATAAATTATTAATAAGTATGTATTAAAATATTAATAGATATGTATTAAATAATGTAATATTAAAGTTTGTTATTATTTTGATTTTTAGTCCGACACTGTATCAAACGCTTTACTAAGCTAGTCTAGCTTAGTCTAGTCTAATTCAGTCCAGCTTAGTCCCTGAAGCTAGTCCAGTTCGAGACAATCCAGTGCAACAAACGCATCCTTAATGTCTAAGTTGTTAACATGCAAGTAAAATTAAAATATTTAATAACATGAATTTTTTTTTTTAACAAACAATATTATCTACATTAAGGAGAGGGGGTAGGCTTAGCCTCACAATGAACTAGCAATAATTTGGTTTAAATTTGCCTTTGGCGAAAATCGAACTTAAGACATCTCAGTTACCAGTGAAGAGAAATACCACTAGGCCGTAGTACTAGTGGCCCTCAAAATATGTCTGGAAACCTTATTTTAATATGATAGTTTAATTCAATTAATCGATAAATTAAAGAACAAACTTAAAATAATAAATTATTGAGGGGGCTAATTAGCCCCCTTCAGTTGGAGATTATATATATATATATATGTGTGTGTGTGTATATATATATATATATCTGACACTTTAAAAAAGAAAAATTTCTTATAAGGCTATAATATGGACGGGGGCTAAATATAACCCCTTCGGTTGGAGATGGCCTTATGTTTGTGTACGATTGCTTGAACCTTTTTGGCTGGCTTTATTTCGGTGGCTAGATCAGGTGCAATGTTCTTTCACAAACGAAATGCACATTGGAGATCCTAGAGGATGCACGCTATTTTGGTGCCAAACCAACGTCATTTCCAATGGAACAAAACTTGTCCCAATTGAAATAGCTCACATCGACCGTATCTGTAAGAAATGAAAAGTTTAAATTTCACAACCCCACTCCAACTAATACCAAAGTCTTTTGTGATAAAACCCCACACCTGACGGAGTGTACATGTGGTAATTACCAAGTTGGAGACAATATCGATGTTGTTAAAAGTGGGTCTTCAGCCCGTCTCTCTGAAAATTTTACGGTCCCTTGTTGGACATGTAATTAAAATTTGTCCTACAAATTCACTTGCAAGAAAGAACAAAACATGAATTTCAAAGTTCGAATCTCTTTAGCAACTCAGTGTAATTCTAAGACGTTTGAATCAAAATTCCAAGAAAAGATGCAAAGAGAAATGAAGACAAGAATTTAAGGGCATGTTTGGTATTAGATTTGGATCCAATATTTTTAACTCAAAAACAAGTTTTGAGTCATAATTTAAAATCTTTGTTTGGTATTTGATTTGAAAACAATTCTCAAAATTCCAACTCAAAAATATTTGAAAACAAAGCCTATTTGTTGAAAACACAAAATGTGTGTTTTTAGACCTTTTTTTTTTATTGGAGATTCAGCCACTCTCGTCTCTCTCTCTAACCATCTCACAGAGGCCTGCACTAGTGTGCATTGCAGTCTGCTTAATTTCTTAACAAAGCTCCACCCCGACTCCTCAAATTTCCAATTGTTGCAGATCTCCAAAGACCCAGTCTACCGTGTCCCGTTGCCAACCCTCTACAAGAACCACACTCGCCAGAACCCTTCTTCTACAGTCTTCGGCCTCATTCCACCCTCATCCTCCTCCTCGCTGACATCTTCTACCATGTGGTTTGCCTTGAATCCCCCAACAACTCAATCGATAGCATCGTGTTCAGAGGATTCAACTTGACGGCGTCGTCTCCTTCTTAGTCATCTCGCTGTAGATCCAGGTCAGTATTTGAGCTCAAAACCCCAGCAAGAAGATCGAAATTTACTGCGAGAAAAAATCCCTCATCAAACCCTTCAACTTAACCTTTTTCTTATTTTTTTGGATTAGTTTAGAGAAGTTGCATACCAAACAAGGTTTTGGATTTAAAATTTTTAAATCAAAACATGTCTTTTTAGAAAAAATCAAAATTTTGAGTTTTGTTCTTAAGTTGAATACCAAACAGGCTCTAAAGTCACATGATTCGAAAAAGCTACTTAAAAAGTTTGGTGACAGGTTTTATTTTTGCCAAGGACATATGATGTAAATCCCTCTTACAAGTCACAACATTTCAAAATTTCTGCAAGTGTCCTTAAAAAATATGACGTTCCATAAAAATGTACTGAAACCAATGGGGTCAATGGCCCCATATGAATTGAATTATTAACAACCGACACTACTTTACAAGACCGGAGAGATAATGAAGGTGTGGTACTCAATTAGATAATAAAGGTGTGGTTCTCCACTAATTGAGTTAGACAGCACAAGTGCACTTGACAGTCAACTTTCTTCTTCCACGCCATATTAGAGAATAAAGGTGTGGTTCTCCACTAATTGAGTTAGACAGCACAAGTGCACTTGACAGTCAACTTTCTTCTTCCACGCCATATTAGAGAAACGAGTGCATTTTTTCTCGCCATTTTAAAGTTGTGATAATATTCATAATTCTATTTATTAATGTTGAATGAATTTAAAATTTTGAGGTTTGTGTATATTTATTACATAAATTTTAAAATTTAAACACATGTAACGCTATAAAAAAGATGATGAGCATCACCATCACTTGATGATGGCGAGCAAAAATTTTACCTTTTAGAGAAAAGCTTCAATTAGTGGATAAAATACCCAGATTAGCCGAGAAACCTCCAAAAATCTTTAATGTCTATCGAGGAACCAGTGCATATATTTCCAGTTTAAATTTAGACAAATATTGGTAAAAACTAGTACCAATGCTCTGTGAATTATACTCTGAGTTTTATTTTCATTAGGGTGAATTGTCGACTCAGTTTCTGAATTATCACTTAAATGAAAATTAGATTCCTAAATTATTACATGGGCACAAATTAGGTCCCTAAATTATTTTTTGGGGTAAAATAAGATGAAGTACGAAAAATTGACAAGGTACATCATATGCAAGTAGCGTAACTTAAATTGACGAAAAATTGAATAGAATAGCTTCGCATATAGTATAATGGGGTATTTATCAAATATAGCCAAAAGTTAACCCTTAATTTCAAAAATGTCAATTTTTATAACAACTTTCCAATATATCCAAATCTCATTTAAGTAGACACAAATACCCTCAATTTAATATCCAATTAACTAACAAAAAATCAAAACCCTATTAGATGAAGAATTAGAGAAAACCCTAGACTTAAGAGATGGTGGAGATCTGTGCATAGGAGAGTGAAGGCATCAGTTGCATTGATCATCGTCTATGTTTTCTCTTTGTTTTTGTAGTTTTTCTTCAATTGAATATTTATGAAAAAAATGTACTGTCAATACTTGTAATATTATTTGTCTCAATTTTTCTTTGGTATATATGAAGCAATCTCTTTGAAATCTCTAAGTCAATGTAATTGTTTCATATTGACATATATGCATTTCGTTGTATATTGAAAATCTTCTATATATGAAAGCAGTTTGTGCATCACAATTTTGTTTTTTATTGGTCCTTGTAGGTGCAATTATCTATTTCTGTAATTACATATTTGTGCAAAGGTTCATGTTCCCTGCTACTGTACATCTTTGAATCTTCAACAACCATCGGCTTGGTTCTTAGTTAAAAAAAATTATAAAATTCGTATTGTACATATTATATCATGCCGAACCGCGAATGAGTCAAGAAGTTTTAAGTCAAACAATTAGTTAATCTTAGTGAGAGATTATAGCACAAGGAGTTTTAAGTCTAACAATTAGTTATTCATATAAATTGAGGGTATTTGTGTCAATTTAAGTGAGATTTTAGATATGTATGAAAGTTTTTATAAAAACTGACATTTTTAAAATTAAAGGTTAATATTTGGCTATACTTGATAAATTCTCAGGGATGTAATTGAAAGATTTTAATTAGCTTAAAGATTAATTTTTCTAAAACAAAATATAATTTAGGATCTCATTTTCACTTTGATAATAATTCAATAACTAGATAGGCACATTCCTCTTCTTGTATGAAATTCCAAAAAGTGTCTTTGTCTTTTACAAAATTAGACGCGTGTTGCACTACTAGTATTTTTTGTTGTGCCTTGGCCCGTTTGTTAGTGCAGAGATGAGATTCAGTTTATCTCACCAAAATACAAACTCACAGTTGAACAATTTAAAATACAAGAAAGAAAGACACCGAGAGAATTACAAGGTTCGACAAAATTATGCCTACGTCCTCAGAGAGATATTGCTCTTCACTATGAAAATAATAGTACAAGTTACACATGAGTTAAATCGACATAACCCAATCCCGAATCTCTTGCACACCCACTCATAGAATTTTCCCAAGAGCCTCACTCTATCCTAAAAATTCTTTCACTAGAATATTTTTCACTCTAACTCTCTTGATTTTCTCTCAATCCATTTTCAACCTTTCCCATAGGAAAGCCTTCCCCCTTTCCTCTCTACTCCACAACGGCTTTTATGCTATGCTTCTGCCTTCGTACCTAAAGCCACTCATGTGGCATACAAAAAAGGAGCCGAATAAAACAACCAACTCTACTCTCTCTTTTTTTTTTTCAACAAACATCATGATCTGCCCTTCACTTCGGGTGCTCTTCTCGTGCCCTCCTGTTTTGTACGATCACGATTAAGTCATATCAACATTTTATATTATTTTTTTTATAAATATAATAAGAAAAAAATGAATAGTAATATAAAATGTTGACGTGGTTTAACTGTGACCACACCAACAGAAGGACACGAGGAGAACACTTGAAGTGGAGGACAGACAATCCTTACCCATTTTAATTAGCCGAAAGAGCCAAAAGGAGTTGATAATTTGGCCACTAAATTCAACATTTTCCTTCAATAATTGAGAGCATTGCTTTCTAATATGCCTGACTTAAACAAATGGACTATTTAGAGCATTGCTTGACCTGACATTTCCAAGCCAAGCTTGAAGCTAGTGCAAAGAAGGATAACAGCTCCTTCTGCCTGCATGTGTTCATATGATGTTTTCAACTGTTATTCCAAGAACATGAAAGGTTACTTACGCCTTCTGATTTCCTGTATTCCTACTCTATAATTCTTTTCACACTTTCGTTTTTATGTTTTCTCTGATTTTAATGGCAGCTTGTTAGAAGAAAATAAAGAGTTACGCATCCTCCTCCGTTCTTACTTGTATAATTGCAGCTTGGTCTTATTTGTTTAAGCTTAAGAAGAAAATAAGGTATGTCCTTCCGTTTCCTTCTTTGACTTCATTCTGTGTTTAGTGTTTACTTCTCAAACTGTTAATTCAAAGGTTGGCTCGTCTTTAGATTTTCCGTATAATATTCATGGGGAAGTGTTCTATTGGTCACTTGGTAATTTTAATTAGAAATATTCCTTTGCTCTCCTTCTCATGCTGCTACGAAGTCTGATTGAAAATTTCTGGAAATATTCCTCATCATTTTTCTGGAGATGTTGTGGATCTGTGCGATCGATCAGCTCGCGAGAATCGGGGGTCAACTCCATCGTACCATCCAGCTCAGTAACTCTGTGATACAGTGTTCAACGAGTCTTGATGGTCTTCAACGAGCAAATCGTTCTACATTTCAAGAAATTCAAATATGGTGGGCTTAAAGTGTGCAGATATGGTGTTTGTTAAAATGTCTCATTGAAATTCCACAACAGATTCTATATGTTTTCATAGTTTTTAAGATTTGAAAACAGTTGCTTAAGTTCTGTACCAAGCAAGTTTTTTTAGTATAATAATTGTATGTGAAAACTTGTTTATGGTCTCGGCTTCTACTTTGCAAGTGTGGTATAACCGTCCTTTTGCTTTTACTATGCAGATTTCTCCAAAATCAAAAGAAAACGAAAAGATTTGCATACTGCACTGTTTTTCTTCAAGCCTAGTCTTGATCATGAGTTAAGGTATGACCTATTGTTTCATTTTTTAAATTTCATCTGCTTTGATAAAAAAAAAAATGAGACCTTTCTCGCATCCTAAATTTTTTGTTTGGATTCGTCTATATTCAACAGATAGAAAAAGCAGACGAATTGGTAAGCTGAAGGTGCCGTGGCGATGGAGATAATCACTGCAATTATTCCTACAATAATTGACTACACAATTAGACCACTTGGACGGCAAGTGAGTTATGTCATTTTCTGCAAAAGCAACCTTAAAGATCTAAGGAGTACATTGAAGAATTTTGATGCTGTCAAAGTTAGGATGAAGCATGCAGTTGAGGAAGTCGAAAGAAAAGTTCATCAAAAAGTGGAAACTGATGTCCTGAACTGGCAGACAGAAGCGGATGAGATCACTCGAGAGGCAGAAGCTTTATTGGATGATGAAGGCCGTGCAAAGACAAAGTGTCTCTATATATGTCCTAACGTGATATCCTATCATCAGCTCAGCAGAAAATCAACTAAATTGGTGAGAAAGATTAAACAACATGAAAATAAAAAAGAGTTTGCCAGTATCTCTTACAATGTTGCCGTGGAAGACATATCTGCCGTAGCCTCCGACGAGTACATGGCCTTTGAATCAAGGACTTCAATGGTGAAGGATCTCATTACGGAACTGAAAAAAACCTGATACCAACAAGATTGGTGTGTACGGATTAGGGGGCGTTGGGAAGACAACACTTGCCAAAGAGGTTTACAGAGAAGCTATGCAAGAGAAGTTTTTTGATGATGTGGTTATAATTCTAAATGTAAAAGAAAAAGACAACGAAAAAATTCAAAAAGAAATTACCGAAAAGTTGGGGAAATTACCGAAAAGTTGGGGATGGACGTTGATAAATCTGAGGATATGGGAAAAAGGGCAAATCTCCTATGGACCAGGATAAAAGAGGGGAAGACTCTTGTCATTTTAGACGATGTCTTGGAAAAAATTGACTTTGAGGCCGTGGGACTCGTCGGTGTGCCGAACTGTAAGTTATTGTTGACATCTAGAGAAAGACAAGTTTTATTCTCTGATATGCGTACGCAAAAAGAATTTCGACTTGGGTTTTTAACAGAAAAAGAAAGTTGGAGTTTGTTTGAGAAGATGGCAGGTAATGTTGTTAAAGACAACCGTATACAGAAAGAAGCAACCCAACTAGCAAAGAAATGTGGAGGTTTGCCGGTTTTGGTTGTTGCAGTTGCAAGTGCTTTAAGGGATAGTAGTTTGGAGGAATGGAAAGATGCATTGAGAAGTTTCAAAAGATTTGACAAGAAGGAATTGAATGAAAAAGCATTCTTGGCTCTAGAGTGGAGTTACAAACAATTGGAGGATCAAGAGCTTCAACAATTGTTCTTGATTTGCGGAATTCTTGCCGGGGGTTCAATGTCTATAAGTCTTTGCAGTGACTTGTTGAAGTATAGTATGGGTTTGGGCTTGATAAAAAATGTTGAGACAGTGGAACAGTCACGGGTTTCATTGAATTTAATGATTAAAAAACTAAAAAATTCTTGCCTATTGCTGGACAGTTATGAAGATGGGACTATTAGGATGCACGAGCTTGTTCGAGATGTTGCTATCTGGATTGCATCTGATGATCAAAAGGCGTTTTTAAAAGTATATGGAGATGAGGTCAAAGAATGGCCCACTGAGGATTTATGCAAGAAGTACACCGCCATCTCCTTGAGGTTTTGCAAAATCCCCAGATTTCCTGAAGTACCTTGGGTATGCCCAGAATTAAAATTGTTGGTCTTGGAGAATGATAATATTGGCGACTCCCAGGAAATCCCAAGCAAATTTTTTGAAGGGATGAAAGAACTCAAAGTGTTAGATGTAACCAGATTCCGTATTCAGTCGCTACCTCCATCTCTTGAATCCCTAAGGCATCTCCACACATTGGGTTTATATGACTGCGACTTGGTAGATATAACTCTTGTTGGACGGCTAACAAACTTGAGAATCCTTAGCGTGATAGAGTCCAGGATTAAAGAGTTGCCTGAACAAATAGGACAATTGACTCATCTACAATTATTGGATTTGTCTGATTGCTCTGAACTTGTTATGATCTCACCTAATGTTATATCAAGCTTGACAAGACTAGAAGACTTGAGGATGGGAATAAGAAGCTTCAAGCTGTGGGAAGGTGAAGGTTTGGTCGATGGCAGAAAAATTAATGCTAGCGTTTCAGAGCTGAAGCACTTGTCTCATCTATCCGCATTGGACATACACATTCCAGATGCTAACCTTCTTCCAACCAACTTGTTCTCCGATAAGTTAGAAAGATACACCATACTTGTCGGTGATTGTTGGGAATATCCTGTCATCGATGAAACCTCCTCTAACATGCTAAAACTCAAGCTCACCAGGAGTAATCAATTTGATCGGGGTATAAAGTTGCTGGTAAAGAAATGTGAGCAGTTATACTTGGATGGAATGGAGAGTGTGAATATTATTTCCTATCTATTTGACAGTGAAGCTGTTAATCAACTGAAGCATCTCCACGTTCAAAACAACGACGAAGTCACATATGTCATTAACTTCGTTAGTTGGAGTTATTCTCATAATGCCTTCTCTTGCTTGGAATTTCTATCTCTTGAAAACCTTATGAGTTTGGAAAGCGTATGTTATGGGCAACTCATAAGTGACCATTTCCAGAAGTTAAAATCTTTGACATTACGGAATTTACCAAAGCTTATTGGTTTCTCTTCCAATGGCAAGCAATTAACGAATGATACAAATGCTGACAAAATCGTGTTGGAGGATGAAGTTGGTGGACCACCGAAACTGTTCAGTAATGGGAAGGTACTTTCTCTATCATTTTCATAGCAAAATGGTTGCATGATTCTTTCTCACTATACTTTTCTTCTTCGAATTTCGATCATATGTTTTAAATTAGAAGAATATTAAAGTGGTATATTAAAACAGGTTTCTTTCGTGTTTTAATTTTCATATGTTTTCCTCAGACAAAACCATTTAAATGGTATATGAAATCAGGTTTTGATAACCCACGATATTCTATTATTGATATTGAGATTTATTTTCCCATGTTGTATGTCATTTCATGTCCATTCACTCGGCCAAAAAAATAAAAAAAAATAAAAAAACAAAAAATTAGAGCATAGCCCAGCGAATTAGAGAATCCGTATCATTGAAATTTGATCTAAAAACTAAAGTTATTTTAATTTTTAAAGAGAATTCCTGTTTATAGTCATTGGATTAAATTTCAATAATAAGAATTTCCTAATTTGGTGGATTAGGAGGAAGGAGAAAATTCCTCTCCCCTCTCCCATTCTCCTTCCTTCCCAACGCCACCAATCACCGCCCCCTCCCTCACGGACCACCACCTCTTCAAGCACAGCAGCAGCATCTCCCTTGATGACGTCATTGAGATCTCCAAGGTAATGAGGAACAGATCCATGGCCGAAGGCGCTCGCGGGAACGGTGATGTAGATTCTCGGAATCTGCGCCTCGGCAACGACCCCAAGGATTTGCAATAGGAGATCGTCGTGGTGACGTCGAGATCCCTCTCGATCACAACGGTGTAAATTCAACGAATTTTGCACGTAAAAGAAATTTCGGGGGAGACACTCGTTATTCACAAATCTGACAGCCCAAAAGGGATTTATTCTTCAATCTTTCCAAATTTGGTGGTCCCCTATTCTTTGAAGGAGCAATTAAATTGAAGGGCGAGGCTTTGGGGTTTGATTTATGGATTTAAAGTGTGAAGGAGATGCAATTGATATTGCTGCTGTTGTGTTTGGGGAAGTGAGAGAGAGATGAGGAGGATGAGCGGCCCTAATCGATCCTGAAATTTCGATACGGGATTTGAGATTGACTTCTCAATATTTCGGAAATTCCATACCGAACCGAAAATATATATTATTAATTATTATATATATATATATATATATATTTATACATATATATATTATATATATTATTCTTTTATAATTGATGCTAGTAGTTTCTAATTCATGCTCTGCAACCTAGAATGCCTTATACCTGCATATTTTTTCATGTTCTGTTTGATATTCATTTGGATTTTACTATTGCTGCTGTTATGGCTGATGATTTCAAAAGGCTTGATTCTTTTGTCTCTCAACAGATTGCCAAAAGGGTTTAATTAATTTAAATTTTGACTTTGATATAAATAGTCAGGCATGCCAGTTCGATTAAATGGTAGTGTGAATGAAATGACATTCCTAGTTCATGAATGTATTCTTGAATTATATATTTGAAGAACAATTCATAATTTCATATTTTAATTTGGGATTCCCGATTTGTCCTGAAATCCCGAAATATTTTCGGGATTACTGGTTTGGAATTGGTCTTCAAATTTCCGTCTCGAAAAATTTCAGTTTGGGATTCAGGATACTAGTTTCGGTTTGGTATCCCATACTGAACCACCCGTACTTTTTCTTTACTCCAATTCGTTGCTTGCTAGTTAATGAAAGTAGAAAGATATACAGCTGTTTAGTGGCCTAGTAGCTTACTTTTTTAATATATGACCTTTACTTTATATCTATACATTTGGAACATATATGCTTAACAACAATGTAAATTATAATTTTCTAAAATAGACATGAATTTTGTTATGTGCTATGCAGGTTTTGATATCCAATTTAACAACCTTGACGGTGCATCAATGTGATAGTTTAAGATTCATGTTTTCGAGCTCCATGGCTAAATGTCTCGGGCAACTCAAACATCTCACGATATCCAAATGTCAAGCACTACAAATGGTATATGACACATCATCTACCACTCAGGTGAATGGTTTTGAGTGCCCAAATCTAAACTCAGTTGACATAGACTCATGTGATAGTTTGAAAAATATATTTCCCGCCTCAGTGGCCAAAGATCTTAAGCAGCTAAGCAAGTTGAAGGTTAGTAATTGTGATTTACTGGAGGAAATTGTCGCGAAGAAAGAAGGACCAGAAACAACATACAAGGAGTTCGGGTTCCCTAAAGTAACATCTATGGAATTTGGTAATCTGCCCCAACTTCAGAGTTTCTATCCAGGACTACATATTTCTAATTGGCCATCACTCGACATATTAAAGTTCACGAAATGTGGTCGTGTGGAGATTTTTATTGCTGAAATTTCAACATATCAAGACAAGTTTGAGTTGGGCCACCCAAGAGCAACGGAACAACCTTTCTTTTTAATTGAGAAGGTAACGATACTCATACACAACTCTTTTGATATTCGAAATTTTATCTATCTTTTGACAAAAAAAAAAAAAAATAATAATGAAAATTGAAAGACTTACTGCTCTCTTGTAGCCCAGTAGCTTAGTTAATAAATGACATTTACTTTATATCTACACATTTGGAACATAAACCGCTACAACGATGTAAACAGTAATTTTCTAAAATAAAAATGACTTTGTTTCTATTCTATGCAGGTTTCCATGCCCAACTTAACAACCTTGACTGTGAATGGATGTGATAGTTTAAGATTCTTGTTTTCGAGTTCCATGGCTAAATGTCTTGGACAACTCAAACATCTCAAGATATCTAAATGTCAAGCACTACAAATGGTATATGACAAATCATCTACCACCCAGTTGAATGGTTTTAAGTGCTCAAATCTAAACTCAGTTGAGATAGACTCATGTGATATTTTGGAAAATGTCTTTCCTGCCTCAGTGGCCAAAGATCTTAAGCAGCTAAGCAAGTTGAAGGTTCATAATTGTGGTTTAATGGAGGAAATTGTTGTGAAGGAAGAAGGACCACAAACGACATATGAGGAGTTCGGGTTCCCTAAAGTAACATCTATGGAATTTGATAATCTGCCCCAACTTCGAAGTTTCTATCCAGGACTACATGTTTCTAGTTGGCCATCACTCAACATATTAAGGTTCATGAAATGTGGTGGTGTGGAGATTTTTGCGGCTGAATTTTCAATATATCAAGACAAGTTTGAGTTGGGCCGGCCAAGACCAACGAAACAACCCTTCTTTTTAATTGAGAAGGTAACCATATTTTACACAGCTCTTTTGATATTCGAAATTTAATGTGAATTTTGCATACTAGTTAAACATACAATATCAAGTAAATACATTTATTATGTGTTGTCCAGTTTTTCAAAATATTTTAAAGCATGTTCTTATCGTTGATTATATTTCAGGGTAAGTCATTCCTCAACTTGGAATACTTAATGTTGGATAAGAATACAGAGATTTGGTATGAACCGTATGGTCCACTCCCGGCAGAGTTGTTGAGCAAAGTAAAATCAATTTATTTTGCTACTTCACATCCCAAGTCAGATGTTTTCCTTGAGAATTTACAGAATATTGAAAATCTCTGTGTGCTCTCTGCTCCTTGGAAAGAATTATTTGTCCACGACCACCAAGGAAGTAGTAGAGAGGAAATACATGAAGTTGAGACCCTCCCACGTGTAAAGCTTTTGTGGCTCATCGATATGCCAGAGCTGATACATCTAGGAATGGAAAAATCCCAACCAGGAGGCCCTGTTTTTCCAAACTTGGAAGTTCTAAGCGTTCACAAATGTGGCAGATTAGAGAATCTAGCTTCAACTTTAATATCCTTTCGGAATCTGACCGCTTTCAGCATAGAGGATTGTCACGGACTGCAATACTTACTTCATCATTCTGTGGCTAAGAATTTGCAGCAACTCAAGGAGTTGGACGTTATGTCCTGTGAAAGAATGGTAGAAATAGTAGCGAGCAACACAGATGATCCAGAAAATGAGATTACTTTCAGTTGCTTGCAACATTTAAATCTTTATGATCTACCAAGACTGCAAGGATTTTGCACGGGAAATTGCATTTTCAAAGTCCCATCCTTACTGCCCAAGGATTTGATTGTCAACAAGTGCCAGCTGATCATGTTAAAGATTTCTCCTGATGGATTACTGCTAAGAGATCCACGTCCAGAAAGACTAGAAATAGTAGAGGAAACTGATGATGTACTAATGCTAAGTGATTCAAGGGAGAATGATCGTGATCAAACTGTAAGTACTTCATTCACTAATTAAGCATCTGTTAATTTCACTCTCCAATTTTTCACTTTCTGAAGCTTGATCTGTCAAATTAAAAAGCCTGATTTATTCATCTTATTCACAGTTGTTCAGTCAGACTTCATATTGAACGGTTTGTGTGTTTATTTGTAATCGTTAACTAAATGTATATTTATACAGGATCAGTTGACGATTGCGGATTCAAATGTAGCTGTTACAATTGCAAGACTTTTTGCCAAAAAGGAATCCTCCTTTTTTGTTCGGCGTGTTAAGGTTTTCCAATTGTGTGCGATTGTTTGTTTGTGTATTATTTTCCTCTTCCTTTTGTTTTTCCTTTTAAAGGAAGAAATATCAACCTCGAGAGTAGACTGGAAGGCACTCTGATCTGTTGGACCACACTACACATTCCACGGAAATCACATTGGTGTGTTCAAGTTTTTAGATGGAGAAAAACTATGCTACTTGGAGTCGATGGAAGTACGCATTGGAGATCCTAGAAACATGTTTCCCTGTTCTCCCCTCAATGGTCTGTGCCCAGCCTTGATTCCCTGGCCGATCTCATCTTGTTTGATATAAGCCTGCAAGCTACAGCCTCAATGGAAAGCTATCCCAGAAACTTGTGCAATTTGGGAAGGCACTAAGGCATATTCCATGTCATGTTATGCTTGCATTGACTTGTGTGTTTCGTCGTAAAAGTGTGATTTGTAGTTGGAGCTTTGTTAGGTGATTTGTATTTTGGAGCTTTGTTCGTTTTTGGTGTTTGGGAAATAATGCTTGTGCGATTTCTGTAAACATTGATGCATTTGAAACTGCTTGTGTGCATATGTCAACTGAAACTTCTTGATGTGTGTTTATTTCATTCATAAATTGCAGGTTTAAATATTCGTGAATTGGTTCAATGAAATACTCATTTTATTTCTTCCCTATTTTCTGCGCACTCTACTAAACTTAATGAAATACTCATTTTATTTCTTCCCATGTTTTGCCTCCTTTTTTTCTTTCTTTCTTGTATCTCCACTTAAGCTCCTAACTATACTTTAGAGAGGACTATTAGTTTTAGCATGCGCATTACGGCAGGAATGTCAAATGGATTATAAATATTGTATGTGTTAAAATAATGGACTAAACTAGAAATGTGCATAAAAGCTCACAGAATATTCAATTCGATTCGATTCATTTCAAATAAGAACCAAGCTAGAATGCACATAAAAGCACACTAAATTACCAAATTTGAACAATTTGGGCAATTAGAAAAATCAATTATTTTGGTTACAAATATTCAATTCAATTTATTTCAAATAAGAACCAAACCAAAAATGAACACAAAAGGTCACTGAATTACAAAATTTGAACAATTTGAGCAATTGGTTATCCTCAAAACAATTCAAAGAGCAATAATTCAGCATGAAAGCCGCAGATAAACAAAAGAAAGACAGAGAATATGTGGAGAAAAATACCCTCGGCAGCCCTGACAAAAACAGAGAGATTTCTTCAACCCTACGACAACAATCAACCAAAATAATCGATGTCGTTGCAGACCGTTTTAAATGAAACGACAGTTACACGCATGACAGCCCATACCAAATCTATTATCTATGAATCCTGCAAAACATCACACAAACAATAAAAAACCATCCTCACAGATGAGAACAAACGAAACAATAAGGAGACAGACTTGAACCAAACGTACAAACAGGACAGATTAAAGGGAATGTAACCAAGAACAAAAAGATGAGACTTTTCAAAGTCTACCAAGGACAAATACACATCAGTGGCCAAACCCCTTAAGATATTGGTTTAATGTCTGGACTGCAAAATATTGACCTATCTCAAAATTCCCTTAAAGGGAAAATTCCATCGAAAAAGGCGACCTCAGGAAGCTTCATTACCTTGACCTTGGTGAGAATTCCTTAAACCCTTCAATCGCTTTTGAGCTTGGTTTTTGTAACTGTCACCAGAGTTGTGGATCGGATTCACTTTGCAAGTTTTAAAGTGAACAATAACAATCTAACAGGGCATTTGCCCGAGTGTTTGAGGAATTGTTCGACATTGTCTAAAGTCCGATTTGATGGGAACTGATTTACCGGGAACATTGTAAATGCATTTGGTGTTTCCACTCTTGAATTCATTGCTTTTAATGAGAACCAGTTTGTTGGTACACTCTCACCACAGTGGGGAAAATGCATAAGCTTCACACATGCGCGTATGGGTTGAAATAAAATTTCAGGTCCAATCCCACGTGAGCTCAGTCAAATGACAAAACAGCTGCTTCTAAACTTGAGCCAGAACCACTTGACTAGGGAGATACCGGCACATATTGGTGACTTACTCCTGAGTTACAACTTGGACCTTAGGAGCAATTCTCTCTCCAGATTGATACCTTCAGACTTGGAACAACTTTCAAATTTATAGGTTCTCTATGAAATCCAGGAACGTGAAATCCCGTTCCTGGATTTCACTGTTATAATCTACGTATTGGTATTATTAAGATTTTATATTATTTTTGTAAAATTATATTAATTTATTTGAATTTAGATTTTAATTAAACTAGTTACTAAGAGTGAAGTTTGGAAATTGGTTATTTAAAATCCATATGCCTTTCGAGGTCACAATTTATATTTTTGAATAGAACTCGATCTCACGAACGCATAGGTGCAAACCGTTCGTGAAACAAAGCTATAACGAAAGAATTATTAACATTTAAAGTTAAAGATATTTTGGTAATTTTCTTCAATTTGGAACGCTCTAGATTTCTGGAGCAAAGATCTATGAAGCCACGTGTGAGGCTGGGATGGAAGGAAAGAAAAGAAAGAGTAAAAAATGAGAGAGGGGATGGGAGAAGGATCGACAAGAAAGGAAAGAAGGAGGAAAAAGTAGAAAAGCTCAACTTCATAGGGAATCCTCCTCGTCAAGGTGCTTTCTTTGTCCATTTGATTATTCAATTCATGAATCCCTCACTTACCCGTCTTTGATTCAAAATTTTCCGAACTTTTTTTCAGAAATATTTCTTGGTACTCTATCGATTTGGGTAATTGGGTGTTTGCGGAGGTGGTGAGTTTAGTTTAATTCTGGTGATTTGTTCTCTATGCCCTCTAGTGATAGTTTGCAATTTGAATGTTTGACACTTTTTGACTTCGAATTAGTTTAATGGGTGTTTATTGAAGTCTTAGTTTGGTTTTGGTTTTGTGCTGGCATTGCTCACCCTCTAGTGATAGTTTGCAATTTGAATGTTTGACACTTTTTGACTTCGAATTAGTTTAATGGGTGTTTATTGAAGTCTTAGTTTGGTTTTGGTTTTGTGCTGGCATTGCTCACCAGGATTAATCTGCATTTCAAGTTCATAGTATACTTTGGTTAGATTTGGCAGATTGTGTTTATAGGATTGGAAGGCTGGTACTATGTGTGCACAGGCTTACGGTATTCTGCTATACGTGTGCATAATGCTTGTTGGATCTCTTAACATGTGGTACAATGTAGCTGGACGATATTAGTTCTATTGATTAGCCTTAAGGTTATTGCTTTGGCGCAGTGGTTATTTTCTCCCTGGTATGAACACACATATGGGCAGTGAATTGTTTACATTGTGTTTATATACTATGGGAAAAAGAATGGCAACCAAATGTGTCTGATTGTCTACATTGGCATTTGTTTCTTTTATTGATAGCATAAAGGGGGTTGTAAAATGTTATTCCGCATATCTCAGCTGTTAGTTGAACTCTTTCATACGCATCTTTCATATAAAAAATTCTCAAGGTGCACAGAGGGGAGAGAGAGAAGGTATGAGATTGAATCATTACAGGAACATGTTATAGCAGAGCTCCTCCGTTTCTTTTCTTTTTTCCTGTTAATCTCCCTCTATGACTTCGAGTAGTAGAGATAGGAAATCCGCATCATGCCTCCTTGTCTGCAACCGGATTAGAAGAAGGGGATTGAGGTTGATCCAAACCATCGGGCAAACATGCAATTTCATTTGCCAAACCTATGGCATGCCAATTATCAGTAAAGATTCTCATATTTTCTTTAGTCTTTCCATAGCTACTCTATATTACGTTTGTAGAACTCATCAGGTCCTCTTCTGGTGGTTTATATACATAGTATATCCGCGAGGATGCATGACTTTTAGACTTTAAATTCGAGATCAGTTCGATTGCACATGTGATAAGAGTGAAGCTATACGACTGTTTATACTAAATATTGCTTATGATCTTTGATAGAGTTTTCTATAGTTGTGGACTTGAGCAGGTTGTTAACATATATTTTGTTTCTTGCTACTTTTATGCAGTATTAGATTATATGCCCTGGACAAACCAATGCTCTCCCAACTTTACAGATGCCTATTTTAACATATGAAACAATTTGACCTTTTGGGTACGAATGTTGAAAAGGCATATATGGTAATTGTCCTATGTATGAAATATCTATTTAAGGTCTCCATTTGTTTAACATTATCAGACCCGTTGCACATGTCTGAAGTTGGAACGAATATATATGTATAAAACCTGAAACGGATGGAATTGCTTCTTATTAAGGATACTGTATGCATATATATATATATATATATGTGTATGTATTTATTTATTTATTTTCTTTTGAACTTGTATCATCGGAATTCATATCATGCATTGCCATAACAGAAGGCATGATTCGACGAACTACGAATGACTTGATCACTATTCCAAATTCCAATCCCAAAAACAAACCATAATTTCAAAAACCACAAACAAGAAAAATCCAAATCAAATCTGCAAGTTATTTAAGATTTTACCGATAACACACGAACCCATTACACACAAAAGAGTAAATTACCTGAGGTCACGGCTGCTCTGGTAGTTTCGAAAGACATATGTTGTGCGAAGGTGTGAAGGCAGACGGTGACGGAGACGGAGAGAGAAGTGGGTTTGACTGTTTGAGGAGTAAAGACTAAAAGGTTGTGAGTGTTTTGACGCTGGCGGATTGGAAGGCGTGGAGGTGCCTCAGAGCTCGCAGCGAGTTGAGGGAACATGATCTTCTTCGCTCTTAACCGGATTTCACACAGTCACTTAGTAATACGGTTTAGTGGTATTTCTCTTAATTTGTAAGTGAGAGATCTTATCTTTGATTCTCACAAAAGTTGAGTTTGAATACATTATTACTAGTTCATTGTGAGACTAAGTCATCCCCTCTTCTTACTGTAGATAACATCATTTGTTTAAAAAAAAATATCAATATATGTCACCATAATAGTTAATGAAGTTAATAAAAATGACCACAGTTTCACAAGTGAAATACGGGACAATTCAAGGACGAAAGCAACAATTAATAGAGTTTAGAGATCAAAACTAAATTTATGGTATAGTTTAAAGAACTTTGTTACACTCAACCCTTATAAAAATAACAACTAGCATTCACTTAATGACTTTCGGAATTTAAAACTTTAACCGCTTGTGCGGTCAACTATAAATAGAAAGATACAAAAAATGACGAATCTTCAAATTAATAAGTGGTGGTTCAATTGTAGTGGGTATTGGTAGAGATTATTGTTTTAAGAGTGATATTAAATTCACCCCATTGTTCTATTTTCTCACTACTTTAAATTAAATAGAATATTTTGTTGATAAATTTGCCTCACATAAAATGACATTAAAGGACCTAATCAAAAAATTATTTTAATAAAGGAAGCTTCTAAATAAAATTAAAAATGAAACAAATGCTCGTCAACCCCATAATCAACCTTGGCAGCCAACCCATCACCCAACTTCTCCCTCCCAGCCAACCATCACCCAACTTCTCCCTCCCAGCCAACCCATCACTGGCTTGATGCCTTGGCTGAGGAAGTCTGAGGCTAATTTAAGCATGGGACTGCCATGTTCTTGTGCTGGATATGATGTAGATGAAGTTCTTTGTGCACTTCATGTTTCCCATCTCTCACACACAATAGCTTGTCATATTCATTCGAATTCGATGACTAAAAATTATGTACAGAGAAGGCCTAGATGGGTGGAGATAGGAGACTTGGGAGTCGTGACGCTTAGACCTAGCATTTTAGACTTAATCTGTAAACTCGACCCAACCTGCCTGCTAAAATTATTATTTGAGTGGATGTTTAACCAGTCGGGTCATTAACAAGAAAACCCGATAGTCACCCCTTAAATAACGGGGTCATTTTGTGTCTGCTGCATGACCTGTTAACGCTTGTAAATTGAGAGTGTTTGTGTAATTTCAATAAGGAATAAGATTCGGAGACAACCGTCGTCCTAACCTCCACTCTCCTATTCTTCTTCTACATCAAATCTCTCATATTCTCCAATTACAAATACACAATTGAATAGCCAACAATCAAAGGAGATTGCTTTTTGTAGAAGTAGCTTATTTCAAAAAGCAACAATGAAGCAGAAGAACAAAGAGTAGCCGCTAAACCCTCCTCGAAAGCAATATCCACGGCGGAGGCACTCGTGGTCCACCTGCTTTCTGGTTTCGGGTTGGCTATACCTTTCTGGGTGCCCCACAATGTCCATTCCATCCGTCTCATACTTCTCATACTCTCCGTTTGATCTGGTGGGTACCCTTCTTCATTTCTAAATTTTGAATTTTTTGAATTTTTTTTATTGTTTTTTTTCAATTCTTTATGATTATATTGTTTTTTTTTTATATTTGTTTTGGGTTTTTGTTTGGAAATTGTTATTAGCATTTTAAAAATGGGGAAACTTGAAATAAGTCCAAATTTGTAAGCAATTACTAGATATAGTCCAATTTTATTTAATTATTGGTTTAAGTCCAGTGACTCATTGTCCACGTCATTTTATTATCATTTTTTGTCAAAATTACCCCTCTATTAACATTATCTTTTAATTCTAAATTTACTTGTATTATAAAATTAATTATAATTGATTATTTATCATTAAAGTAATCCCATAATTGTAGGATTAGTTTGAAATAATATTATCTCTTCTTCCTCATAACCCCCCCTACAAATAGTATTATTTTTTATGCGTGATGGTCTTCTTCCTCCTTGGAACCCATAACCATGTGTGTTCATGTTGGAACATTTATCCACAGGGCTAGGAAGAAAGCCTTCTAAACCGTAACCGTGGGTGTTGATGTGTATATATAATTGTAGGCTCTCACTATTAATTTCTTTCTTAGTTTTTTGTTTGTTTATATGAACTTTTCTTTTTATAAGTAAAAACGTTATAGCAAATGCACTTTATTTATTTTGTTTATATACCTAATACATAGGTAGACGTAGAAAATAATTTTGTCTTTATATAGAGTAAGTAGAATATATCTGCTTTATAGGTATAAAGTAGTATAATTGATTATTTATCTTTAAATAATCCCCTACTTGTAGAATTAGTTTTAAAGTATATCTCTTCTTCCATAACTCCCGTATACAATTTGTGCTGTGTTCTCCGATCCCCTTCCTTCTTGTTCATTCTTCTTCTTTCAAGCTCTTATGATTTCTTCATCCTTTTTGAAATACAAGGTAACAATTTCTAATTTTTTTCGGTGGTATAGAGCTTTGAAGTATGCGAATACACCAACAAAAGGTGGGTTGATGTACGTGGTTGGTTTTGGTTTTGGTTTTGGTTTTGTAGCATCAAATCTTGCATCTTCCTACTTTTCATCCCCACTAGGTCCTCCCAAAATAGCACTAGTTAGGTCATTTTGATTGGGAACATTGCCATGAAAATGAGTTTCATGCGTGCACTATTAATTTCTTCCTAATTTTTAGTTTGAACTTGGATTATACATATTTTTCTTTTCAACCTTTATAGGAAATGCATTGCTTTGTTTATCTACCTGTATTATATATTTTTGTAATGAATCTATTTGTATATTTTGTTTATTCTACCTGTGTTATAGATTAATTGTATTTTATCTACCTATATATCACAAATTTTTCTATCTCAAATTAATTGTGTTATCTACCTATACGATATGTTTTTGCTCATTAGTCTATCTATATATCACATATTATTTTGTGTTATCTATCTATACGATAGACTTTTATTCATAGTCTACCTATATCATAGATTAATTAATATTATCTACCTACACCACAAATTTTTTATGTACCTCGACAACGTTTCTTTTAATTTTTCATAAACTTATAAGATTGGTTGTAATGTGTTTTTAAACTGTTTTTAATTAGAAAACAGGTAGATAAAGGTATTTGAAGCTTCAAATTTTTAAAATTTTAAATTCAAAAATAAAGAATTTAAATATTTTTTATTTTCAAGGGGCAAATTAGGTGTAATAAAAAATCAAATAAAATTGGACCCAATCTGAAAACTGGTGAATTCTTTGGACCTGGATCAAATTGCCCCTTTAAAAATCTCATTATGTACTCCTCATAAGTGCATTTTTCATTCTAATTATAAAAAGTTTGAAGTGCAAATGAGATTTTTAGAGTGTTAATAACATTTTTTATTTTTTATTTTTTTTCTTTTGAAGGTTTTTGAATGCCCAGATGTGATTCTTCTTTACAGCCGGCATAGGAAGGACCATGAACGATGGTCAATAAGTTATGCTTTTATTATTATGTTTGGTAGCTGAAAAACGGATGTAAAATGTGGGTTAGTGTGGGAAAATGAGATTGTCTTTCGTTTTCTTAGCAACCCAATACAAAATACATGTAGTTAGTATTGGAATGTAAAATTTTAAAAAAAAAATTGTTAATGGGTGAAATGGGTTAAACGGGTGACTCATTAGCTTAACGAGTTAGGTTTTGGTGACCTGTTAATTTAACGGGTTAAATTCGAATGACCAATTATCTTAACATGTCAGGTTAAAACTGATCTGAACCCAATAAAACCGACCCATTTACAAGTCTAGTCGTGGTTCTACAAGATTTGGGATTGGGGTTGGCTCTGGGTGTTGGTGGGAAGGCGCAGCTATGTTGGTGGTGGTTGTGCGGGTGTATTTTGGCGAATTCATTGTGTGACTTATTTTTGCACACTCCAACATGTGGTTGGGAGTTTTTTTAATATAAGATGAAATGTCGATTTAGTCATTGAATTATCATCTCAATGAAATTTAGGTATCTGAAACATTTTTTCGGTAAAATAAATCCTTAAATTCATCCTAAAATTGCTAATTTTATCCCTAATATTATAATCAAAGCTATTTTATCCAATTATTCGTCAACTTAAGTTATTTGACACAATTTAGATTGTAATACCGTCTTTTTTTTCGCCTATAAACCCTTAACATTTCTTATAAATTGCGAATCTAACGTAATTTACCCTCCAAAGTTATCTCCATACAATATTTCTATATGAAAAATATTCATCTATCCTCCAATATGTATCACATGCAAGTAACGTGACTTATGGATCTAATTTATATTAAGGATGCAATTGGCATATTTTTATAATTCAATGATAGACTTTTCTGAAAAAATAGTTTATGGATCTAATTTTCACTCAGGTGATAATTTAGAGACTAAATTGGTAATTCACCCTTTAATATATAATCTTATTTTAGGAATAATGGTGGGTGTAAAAATAGTATTATATTTTTCTTGAGTAATACTATACTTACCATTTATTTGTACCATCTTTTGTATTATCTCTGTACTAGAGGTAAGGTCCGCCAAT